GTGCTTTGATTTCAGTTGTAGGCTTTGGTGACCTGCTGGGCTATTTAAGCTCATTATATGTGGTTAATATTTCAGGTGCAGAGCCTCCCGCGTGAAGCTTCTTTTGTCGCTAGTGTAGTCTTGTTTTGTTGCTTATGGCAGGCCTTTGTTTTGTAGCCGTTGGACTATTGTACATATTCTTTTGGACGATCTTTTGACTGTGTTTATGTGGAAATGTGAATTATAATAGATGTTATATCTCTTTTCTGTATTTCTTTTCTGTAATGCAATTACCTCTGGATGACTGTATTGATCTGAACGAGAATGAGAAAGAAGAAAATAGATATGAAAAAAAAAAATGTCAGACGAATCCTTTCACTATTGATATCTGGGACGTCACAAATACTAACGCACATCATCATCTCTATCAAAGCTAATGCTTGTCTTCTTGTTTGCTAGTTTCCTCTCTTATAAGGCGAACCAAGCAAATCACAAACAATCTCTTAGTGACATCTCTTACACCACAATACTTCTACTTTGACGTAGAAATTTATCTTCCACTATTTATGTCTATTATATTGTATAAATGTGTCATTCAATCACGAGGAGAGCATTCTTTATAACATATGACTCATACTAGTATAATCATTTTAATTGAGCTAGGTCCTGTGATAGGCTACTCTCAACTTATGTGTGCAAGATTTCGTACGATACTAAGACAAGTTATTCTGTCTCTATTGATGCAAATGTTCGAGTGCACAAATAAGTTCGATCATATCCAAACCTGACTCAATTTGAGTGTAATTTGAGTTGAACTTAGTTCATTAATCTTCTCATTAACTTCAATCCCAAACAACTCCAAGAAAAAAAAAAAACAAGAGAAATTCACTGCCTTATCCTTTAGCTGGAATGAATGTGGGAATTTGATCGAAAGTTAATGAAAGTAAACGTTGGAAAGCTCAAATCATTAATGTCTCCAAATTCATCCCCAACCAAACAATTGAAATTGAAAAGATTTCATTCCATTTCTATCATTTTTCCTTCCATCCAAACCAAACCTCATTGAAACAGTAAAACCATGACGCACAGATCTGTAAAAGGAAGAAATTTTTAATTTCTTTCTCCAGCTCTCATATTTCAGATCTTTAACATAGAAACTTCCTATATATACATTTGATGAATCCTGACCCGAGCTGAAATAAAAAAAAAAAAGATCGCCATATCTTCAGTCCTTTATATTCTCTCTATCTGAAGCCTCTGGCTCTACAAAATCTTTGCTGATAAAGCCTGGAACAACAAAGTTGGCTATCCAGTAGACAAACAAAAGCACAGCACTGCATCACAACAAAAGCTACCTGAGCTTTTCTGTAGAAAAAGCTGATAAAGGCTTCGTTTGGGGCAGCTTTTTTTCTGCTTCTTAAAGCGCTTTTTAATACACAGATTTTAATTTTTGTTCTATAAAATCGCTTTAAGAAGCAGGAAAACTGTTCCAAACAAAGTCAAAGTAAAAGAATTTAGCAGTCTACTCACGTTACAGTCTATTCTTCTGTTATTTATGGCATATTTGGTGAGAGAAGAGTGGCAATGAAATAGATGGGAAGCAGGCTAATGGCTTCCATTTGTTAGCTTGGTTATTGTAGAGGCTTCTCTCTTCTTTGAAGCCTTTAGTTTCGTTTCTTATCATCTTCAATCCGTTATATGAAATTACTGTATGGATAAGGTTTTAATATCCCAGCTCCAGTGACTTTGGTTAGTTTTATCCTCTGGTGGATTTTGACTATGAACATTAAAGGTGTTAAATGGGCTCTGCAAAGCCATTTATGGACGACAGGTTAAGCTCGTGTAAAATATAGCTCAATTCTCCAAAGAATATCAACTCAATTTTTTTAGACAAATTAATAATCGCTCAGGACCCCACTAGCTTAGTTGGGTTGGTGGGCGAGCATGATTGATAAGTTCCCATCCCATATTCGAATCCTCTCTCATGCGGCACGACCCCTTAAGTGTGGAGATAATAACTGCGGGTCCTGCACCTATAGGGCTGGTTGCTGGTAAGCTCGCTGAGGGATTAGTTACGCTGTCAAGCACCTCCTAATGTGGGAGGGGCAACGGGTAGATACCCTCGTTCCAAAAAAAAGTAGCTCAGTCTGTTGATTTGAAGTTTTAACTATCAATTAAAAGATTTTGGGTTTGAATCTTGTGTATGTGATTAGTGTGTGAGTTTGTCTCAATTAATCTAAATGTATAAAAACAAACTTAGTTGTAAATTTGAATTGATTTTTAATTTTGTTTGAGTAAATCGAGTCAAATTAGTTGAGCCATGAGCTAAATTTTATTTCGGTCTAATATCAAGTTTTAGGTGAACCTGGTCAGTGATGCATGAAAAATATTTTTCATATTTATAAAATTTAACTTTCAAATTTTATTTAATGTTTTTTTTATTTAAAAAAATTAAATTATTTAATTAGTCATTTAAGTAAATTTAAAAGCATATTAATCAAGTTAAATTCCTTCTTATTAACTGCATTTATTAATTTTTACTTTTTTTGAAAATAAAAATAAAAATTGATATAATAAAATTTGCTATTATTTTACAAACTATATTTATTCCTTTAAAATTGAGTCAATTTGACCAAGCTTATTTATGCCTTCCACCTCTTCCACAGTGTACACCAATCCCCACCGTTGGTTGCATCGGCCAGAGACACGTGGCACTGGTTCCTGCCCTCAATTTCATCCTTAAAAAACAGAATCCCATGCACCTACGATGTCTGATAAATTAGTAAAATACGGTCCATGTTCACTGATTTCACGTTAAGATTCGTGTTACTAAAACCCAAGGTAAATAGCTGCTTTGTAGCACGTAATTCTATGGCAAATCAATGAGCATAAACCACGTTGCATTGTTTTTTTCCATGGCACAGAGGCATAATAATTCCTAAGCGGTTCGCGCCGAAGTCCAATCGGTCGAGAAGCCCAAGCTTCGCTCGCACGTTCCCGCCGTTTCTATAAACACTAACTTCTGCTTCGCTCTCTTAACTAAACTTACCTGTTAAAAAACCATTCCTCTTTTGTTTAGCATTCTCCAATGGCACGTCGCCGAGGCCGTAACCCTAGAAGTAAGAGCGCGATCCAAACCATTCGTCTCTTATTCTTTCGATCCATTGCATCCACTGCTCCTTGAGAAACCCTGACTTGTTGATTATATACTTGCAGGTGCCAAGACTCGCCGGGAAAGCGATGAAGACATGTCCGATAACGACTACCTCCCCTCGTCTGACTCCGATGTTGTCCTCTTATCAGAAGAAGAAGATGAAGAGCTTACCTTCGTCCCATCGGCTGACTTACAACCCGAATTCCCTGAGCCTGCTATGCCACGAAGGGCTAAGAGATCGCGGAGGAAGAGCGACGTCCGTTCAAAGCTGGAGTGGGAGAAATGGGAAGAGGAGAACGATAAGTGGTTAACTTCTCTGGAGGCTGAGGGCATCGGCGAGGACTCCGATCAGTCGGCGTTGCTGGCGGAGGCAATGGAACCCTCGGAAGATGTTATTCTTCCTCTCCTCCGCTTCCAGAAAGAGTGGCTTTCCTGGGCTCTAAAGCAGGAGGACTCTTCTGTACGAGGCGGGATTCTTGCGGACGAGATGGGCATGGGGAAGACCATCCAGGCCATCTCGCTCGTTCTCACCGCCCGGTCGCTCGGCACGCGATCTCATTATGGCTCGGATGTGTCTCATTTCCGAGGAAATGAGAAGAGTCCAATGCCGAGGGTGAAATGCACTCTCGTGATTTGCCCCGTTGTTGCTGTGATTCAATGGGTGGGCGAGATTAATGCGCACACAGCTATGGGGAGGGTGAGGGTTTTGGTTTTTCACGGGCCTAAGAGGTCCAATCCAGGCTATAATTTTGATGATTATGACTTTGTTATTACTACTTACTCCACGATTGAGAATGACTATCGGAAGTACATGATGCCGCCAAAGGAAAGTTGCATGTATTGTGGGAAAAAATTATATCCGAATAAGATGAAGATTCATTTGACCTATTTTTGTGGGCCGGATGCTAAACAGACACTGAAGCAGGCCAAGCAAGTTAAGAAGAAGAAGAAGCAAGTGAAAAACTTCAACTTGAATAAGAAGAATCTGCCTTGTGAGGAAGATAATGAGGTTATTGAGGAAAGGGAGAAGAAGAAAGTAAGACGAAATAGTAAATGGGAAGAGCCCATTAACAACTTGGCAGCAGAACTTAGGGAGAAATCAGCTCTACATTCTGTTGAATGGGAGAGGATAATTTTGGATGAGGTAAATTTTATTTTTCTAATTTCACTTCTTTTATTTCTGGGAGCTGTGTTTTCTTTATTTAAGGTTAGTCTGATTTGTTTTTGTGCTTAAACACTTGGAGCACGTGCCTAATATTAGGAAAAATGGTCATAACTCGAAAGTGTAATCCTAGGATTGAAAATGAGGAATTAAAATATAATTGTGAAAGAGATCAAGAAGTAAAAAAAGAATATTAAAATTTACATTATTAGACTTAAATTAATGTTTATTAAGTTTACCAGAGAGGCGAAAGGATTCCATCCATGAACAAAGAAGCTATAATTGTGATGAATGATAAAAGAAAACTCATCACTCGTTAAATTCTGAGTATAGTGTTACTTAGCAAAGAAAAAGTAACCTCTGGGCCCTTAGTTTGTTAAGATAATATTCAAATTCCGAAACTTATACTTCATATAGTTTTCTCTCTATGGTGTTCCTCTTCTCAATTTCTTTTAAATCCTTCACAAGAAATTTCGAAATTATTTAGTGTTTACCAGCATCAACTTATTTGGCCTGCAACACATCAAAAATTCTTGTAAGGTGAGGTAATTAACTTAATAGCAATAAAAAGTTATCTTTATCATAAAAAATGACAAAAATGTCTCAATTATCAATTTGTTAATTGAATTCATTCATATGTGATTTAATGGGCATATCTTCCTACATTATGGAGGTTATTGAGAGGCTTTTGGTTTTAGATTTCAACTTGAGTCCCAAACCATTTGTGGATTGTTTCCTTTAAAAGTTTTGTTAAGTCATCATTCACCAAACATAATTGATTCATGGGGAGAAACTTTTCATCCATCTTTGCCTTCTCTATTTTACTCATGGTTTTAGGCACCTTAGCATGCCCCGTTTGCAACTTTGAAAATCCTTGATGGACTACACCACAATGCATCTTGGTTCTCCAAAGTTTAAAACTCGTTGAGCCATCAAAATTCTTGATCTCAAACTTCATGGCCATCATATTCCTCATAAATCTTTGCTCTTATAGCAATTTCTATTAGGGAGTGAACCGAGTGGACTAAAGTTAGGCCATATATATAAGCGATCAAATATATTTTTAATCAAAAAGTATAAGCTTAATAGGGGAGGGATAACCATTTGGTATTTTTATATCAATATATTTTTCAACTACTTGATGTGTGACTAAACACAGTCTTACATGTCATAACCATCTCCTCCTCACACAAGAGCTCTTCATATTAGCCACTATGCTCAAATTGATACTTTTCAATATCATTGGGCCTTATGCCTTAGAGTTATTATGATCTACCATATAAATATTATCACATGTATTTATTATTTATAGTAGAAATTTTTAGTATCTGCTATTGTAATATGATCTTATTGTCGAGAATATTTTTCTTTATTGCTCATTTCTTTTTCTTATATATAGGCACACTTATATCAACAAATTATTCAATTCAATAAAGCTTCGGCAATTCTAGTATTTTTTTTTCATTATTCACCAAGGGTCTACTCAACTATGTGATGGCATCATGGGGCACACTCGCTCTATTACATAAATTGGGATTAAACCCAATCTCACATGTCATAATGCCTGATTCCAACTTGGAATTTTAAGGCATTTATTTACTTGTAAAGCATTTTTCTTGGGTGAAAGGAACTGCTTGTCACAAAAGCGATAGCATGTTTGTGCAGGCTCATTTCATAAAAGATAGACGTTGCAACACTGCAAGGGCTGTTTTTGCTTTGCGCTCTTTCTACAAGTGGGCTTTAAGCGGCACTCCTCTACAAAATCGTGTTGGCGAACTCTACTCCTTGGTCTGTCTATCTATATTCCTAGCCTTATCTTTTTCACATTTAGTGTTTCTCTGTATTGACTGAGGATGTTTCTTGCTCAATGTAGGTTCGTTTCATCCAAATTGATCCATATTCATTTTATCTGTGCAGAGATTGTAATTGTAAGGTTCTTGACTATAGGTAGGTGCTAATAAAAACAACTCTCTTAATACTTAATTTTACATTTGAACATATTTTATTTTTTAATTCACTTTCAATTTTACTCTTATGTTGCTGTGGCGATTATGTACTCCCAGGCTGTTTTGTGCTATCAAAACAATTTTCATCTTCTTGTTTTTTCAGTTCTACAAAAGACTGTCCGAACTGTCCACATTCTACAGTGAGGCACTTTTGCTGGTGGAACAGAGTGAGGAAAATTTCAATTCTCTCTTTTTTGTGTCATCTTAGTAATAACATTTTGGATCCTGTTGTCGTTTTAGTTAGCTAATGAATATTTCTTTTCTTAGTACATTTCAAAACCAATTAAAGAATCTGTGTATAATCGAGATAAAGGCAAACGTGCAATGACTCTTCTTAAGAAAAAGGTATTAAGCAGCATATTATTGAGGCGAACTAAGCTGGGAAGAGCTTCAGATCTTGCTCTTCCACCAAGGATAGTAAGTGTTTTTTTTTGTTTTTTTACATACTAGAAAAAGGAGTAGAATCAAGAGCATGAATTTGTTATCTTTGTTTATCTATTTCAGGTTTCTTTAAGACGTGATTCACTTGATAAGAATGAAGAGGAGTTCTATGAAGCTCTGTACACCCAAAGCCGTCTACAATTTGGCACGTGAGTTATGACAATGTTGTCTATTTTTTTGGTTTCTTTTGTATTGGTTAATTTCTACATTTCAGAACTGAAGTATTCTTAGTTCTTTTTTTATAATCAAGATAATCTATCAGCTTAATTAAAGATGGTGTACCAATTGGAGCTTGCTCCAGAATATCAATGTTACAATGCTTATGTGGCACTCGGTGCTAGATTTAAGCAGCAGTTCAAGTATTCAATTCTGCCTATTACGCACATATTTTATAATGTATTTTCTGAAGCTTAGGACAATTTAGGATAAAAATGTAAATTTTGATGTGCCCGATTTTGGTCAAGTTATTGGCCTAAAAAGCTTTATAAAGATAAATGGATATTTTAATGTGGAAAACAATCACTTAAATTTAGGATTGCACTACTGTTACTACAGACCACTATGCCTAGCTTGTCTTAAAAACGTTGTATTCAATGAACATAAAAGGGATCTATATTATGTTTTATGAAAATATAAAAATTTCTTTTTACTGGAAATCAGAATTGATGTTTCAAGCGTGATTCTAAATGAGTGTTTTTCTTAATAAACTTATGATGCATTTAGCTTAATATTTTTAATAAATGTGCAATTCTATGAACTTAAAACAAAGTGTCATTAATTTCTAAATAATGGGTATCTATTATAAAACATGCATATTAACAAGAATGGAGGTTAATATATGGAAAGTGGTTTAGAAGAGCTGCAAGTGTTTTCAGCTGAAAAGTAGGACAAATTGGATTGCTTTTGAGGATTTGTTGCTCCATATATATTGTACCTTTCAAGTATCTTGAGCATGTTCTAGTTTTTCTTGGCTGATTGTATCTGCATATTATTATTTTTTAATATTTCATTATAGGGAGTACAACGGTATTTCATTATAGGGAGTGCAACGGCTTGTGCTGAGCTGATTTATTAGTTATCAATAATGCTTTATAGATATTTATGAAGACAATTTTGTACAAACCTATTGGTAGATATATTTTTTCATATTGTCATTTGATCCCATTCTTGTTAGGGAAGAGAGGGCCTCAAATTATAATGAAACTGGTAGGACTCCGAAATACGCACAACAAAACAACAATAACAAAGAGAAAACACAGTAGAAATCAAAGAAAAAGAATGAGATATCGCACAACAAGCCAAGATACAAATTGATCTACTATTAGAGAGGTAGATTGATTCTCCACAAACCCTAGGCGCCGCAAAGAACAACTCCAAAGAAAACTACAGCAAAACACAATTCACATAATGGAAATAGGCAACCTAATTAACCCTACCTTCTTAATTTCTTCTCAAATATGAATTCAACTCAGCTTCTTTCCCTAAATAGTCTTTCCTAATTTCCTCCCAATTTTGATTTTATGGTAAACAATTAAAGGTAGAGTTAATCCCCTTTGGGGCCCCTTTCTCCTTGCCTGCCACCCACACTAGTGGGGCCCACAGGCTCAACCGATCCATCAATACTCCCCTTCCAAAAAACCAATATGGTTTCTATGTTGCTTCATAGTTGAGCAGATCCTTCCACTCGATCAACACTTCTCTAATTGCTCCTGCTGTTGAGCAAACTCCTTTCACTTCCCTTGGCTCCAAGATCACCTCCAATTTTTTTGTCAAGATTATCGGCAGTATCACTGAATGACTATGGTCGACAATAACTTTCATCAACTAGGACAATTGGAACATTTGGTGTATGGTGGAAGTAGGGGGTAGCTGCAAAAAATACACCATGGCACCAATCCTCTTCACATCCTCATAAGGCTCATAGTATCATGGAGATAACTTTTCATTTCTTCTTCGAGCTAAGGTCTTCTGTCTGTAGGGTCGAATCTTCAAATACACTTTATCACCCACCTCAAACTGCACATCCCTTCTATGCCTATCAGCCTGCTTCTGCATAATTTGTTGTGCCCTTAGTAGGTGCCCCTTTATCTCTCCCAACATCCTATGTCGTTCCTCCAACTGTTATTCCACTGATGCAACTAGAGTGCTCTTGGTATTGTAGTATACCAAGTGAGGAGAGTCTCCGCCAGAAAGAATTTTGAAGGGTGTAGTCTACATTACTATGCTAGGATGTATTGTGTTAATACTCGGCCCAATGTAACCACTTAACTCGAGTTTTGGTGTTTCTGATTTAAAACATCTCAAATAAGTCTTCACACTTTTTTTCATCACCTTGGTCTGTCCATTAGTCTATGGATGATATGTTGTTCTTCTGTTTAAAATGATACCATACATCTTGAATAGCTCTCTCTAGACATGGCTTATAAACTTCTTGTCTCTATCTAATACTATGGACTCTTAAATTTCATGTAAGTGGACCACCTCTCGAATAAATGTTGCTTCCATTGAAACTGTCGGTGTCACACGAGAATGAAGTGGGCATATTTACTCAACCTATCCACTATTACCAAAATCATCGAAAATCCCTCCGATTTTGGCAGACCTTCAATGAAATCCATGGTTCTCTCTTCACACGCTTTCTTAGGCAAAGCTAGAGGTTGTAAAACTTCACCTGGAGTCATCATCATGTATTTAAGCCTCTGACAGATATTGCTGTTGACCACTATGTCTTCCACATATTTCTGCATTCCAACCCAGTATAATTCTGATGCATAACTGTCTCTAATCGACTAGGGTATAGCCTGGATGGCTATCCTTGTTCCTCGATAAATCTCTCTTGATTTTCTCCAATCCTTCATCTTGCAAACTTTCCCTTCTCAAATCCTCCCAGACTATAACTAAGGGAACATACAGTGTCATCATGTGTGACTCTCCCATACACATGTATAACCCATCTACGACCTTGTTCTCTATCCCCAGTCAATACTAAATCTCGAAATTATAACCTAATAGTTTTGAAAGCCACCTCTGACGCTCCTCTGTAACCATCATTTGCTCTAGAAGAAATTTTAAGCTTTTTTTATTAGTCCTGTCAATAAGTGTCGCCCCAATAGGTAGGCTCGCCACTTCTGGATGACCAACATAATCGCCATCAGCTCTCTCTTATAGACTGATTTGAGCCTCGCCTTAGCAATCAACACCTAATTGAAATAAGCCACTGGCCTCTGGTCCTGCATAAGTACAGCTCCTAGCCCATACCCCGAAGCATGCGTCTCCATCACAAAAGGCTGGCTGAAGTCACGTAGGACTAACACTGGCAAGCTAGTCATCTCCTTCTTAAACTTCTCAAAAGCCTTTAGCCCCAATTAAAATTATCATTCTTTTGTTGTTCGGTCAATGGCCAAGTTGAACTATATCCCTTCACGAACTTTTTGTAGTAGCCATAATCTCTAAAAACCCTCTTAACTCCCTCAAGCTCTTGGGGTATTGGTCATCTCATCATGGCCTCGATTTTTCCTTTGGTCAACTGCCACTCCTTCCCGTGATACCACATGCCCTAAATACTCCACTCTAGGCTGAACAAGTGGTGGTCCCGCATAGTGGATAACGCCAATCTCAAGTGTTCCAAGTGCTCCTCCTCAGTCCTGCTGTAAATCAAAATATCATCAAAGAAGGTTAACACAAACCTCCTATATTCATCAGGGACTGAAAAGTAGTTGGACTATTAGTGAGGCCAAAAGATGTCACTAAAAAACTCAGTGTCCCTCGTGAGTCCTAAATGCCATCTTGGGAACATCATTGAGCCTCATCTGGATCTAATGGTACCCTGATTTCATATCAATCCTTAAGAAAAACACCACTCCAAAAAGCTCATCTAGCAACTTATCAATCACTGGAATAGGAAATTTGTTTAGCACAGTCTCCTTGTTTAACGCATGGTAGTCCATGCAAAACCTTCAACTGACATCTTTCTTTTTCACTAAAAGCATTGGACTAGAAAATTGATTGACACTGGGTCGAATAATACCCGCCTCTAACATCTCCCTGATCAATCTCTTGATCTCATCATTCTGGATTGGGGATGATGGTACAGACGACCATTGATAGGTGAAACTTCTTCCTTCAAGCTGTAGCATTCTCTTGTTCTCACGGAGGAGGCAAGCCCTAAATTGGCTGGAACACCTCTGGATACTGATGTAGGAGTGGCTGAACTTTGTCTGGTGCTTCTATCTTCTCCCCATCCTCTTTTCCTTTCAAACTCCATAGCTCCTTCAAATACCCAATCCATCACCGTGGATTGCCCTCACCATAGTTTTGAGTGAAATCATAGTTTTTGACAGGCTAGGATCCTCTCTAATAACCATTTTTCTACCCTCAACCTTGAACTCCATCATTAGAGCCTTCCAATCAATCTTGGCCCTCCCAACTTATGCAACCACTTCATCCCTAATATCACATATGTGCTCCCCAAAGCTAATGGCAGAAAGTCTTCCAATGCTTGGACCTCTTGAAGGATTAGGATCACCCCTTTACAAATTTCTCTACTCCCTATTTTTCCTATTCCCAGCATAACCCTAAATCCCCCCATGTCCACTAATTTTAATCCCAACTGATCCACCATCCTGTATGAAATGAAGTTGTTGGTAGCTCCATTATCCACCAGTACTACCACATCCTTATGCCTGATCTTCCTCTTAACCTTCCTGGTGTGGTTCGGTGTGAACCCGACCACTAAGTTAAGGGATACCTCTGCAACATCTAAGTGTAGGTGATCATTTTCCTCTACTTCCTCTTCTACAGCATCTTCCTCCTCATCACAAATTGTCCGGACATGTAATTAATGGTCCTTACAACGGTAGCCTGGAGAGAACTTCTCATCACACCTAAAGCATAAACCCTTGGCACTCTTCTCCTAAATTTTTGACTCAGTCAACCTCTTGAAGTTACCCCCTAGTCATACTCGCTGAACTCTATCCCTCGGGGCTTCCTTCTGAATAGGAACTGTCTGTATCTTTGGTGCTAGAAATATGATGGTCGTGCGGTAGGAAACTTATGAACTCTTCTACGACTACTACTCTCCAAGGATTTCTTATCATCCACCAACTGGGCTAACTCCATTGCCTCGAATATCAAGCTTGATCCCCTTCAT